CTCCTGCCTGGGCTCTGCGCACTGCCCATGTGGAGGCCCATCAGTCCCGGTTCTGGATTGAACCGGGACTAAAGGGTCGGGGCATTAGTACCGACACTTTAGTCCCGGTTCAGGAACCGGGACTAAAGGCCCTTACGAACCGGGACTATAGGCCCTTTTTCTATAAGTGTTGGTCTAGAGTAGTCATGTAAGCAATGGAGCAACTCATATTAATATACGGTCGTCTAGAGTAGTCATTGTAAGCAATGGAGCAACTCATGTTAACATATGGTGGGCGCATACAGATAACCAGACAGTCATAGCTTGTGTGTGTGACATTCCTGATCGGTTGATGCAGCCTACCTATCATGCCCAAAGTCTCGTAGTAAAGTTTTGACGGAGCAGTACCTCTAATTACTTATGTGCATCTAGGTTCTTAAATGTTTCCACCTCATAATTTTCCTCGCTTTTTTTTTTGCGACTCTTTCTTACTATTCTACATCTATAAATATCTACATACTCAATCCTCTCTCGACAAGAACGCATGCAGGTCTTAGATGCCCAAGGGGAGGCAGGAATTTGTTTGGCTTTGCTTCTTCGGAACGGGCGACATCAAGAAGCATGTTAACAGCCGTTGACTCTAGTCCAGTGTAATGAGATAAACTTCCACATGAATGCCTCACCACTTCTGTCATTGGTCCAACCTAACCCACTGCTCCTGCATCGAGAAAGTGCACAAATCATTAGCTAGTGCAAGGAATACGAGGTGCATAATTCCCAAAAGGTACTGCCTACAAAAGACGACGATCGACACTGACCCGGTCAAGCTTGGAACAAACATCAATGGTGGAACAAACGAGTGAGAGTCAGCAGTGTGTCTCCTCATTGCATCAGTGTATTACTATTGCTCAAGAAGACATGGGATGTGATCCAGAAAGGAAATAGCATGCACAGATCCAAAAACAGAGATATAAAACAGAGCAAGGTAGCAAGTTACAACAGCAAAAAACTGAAGACAGTAACCATATGATACGAAAATGAACTAGACAGAATGGCGCGCTCCGCTACGCCTTTGCTATATTCATGTCCTCCGTATGCGATTTTGCAGGTTTGACCACGAAGGCACCACCCCCGGCAATCAAACCCGCACAAACAACCACACGTAGTTCATTGAAGTACCGCCTACTTCCTCTATCCAAAAATACTGACAAATGGATAAAATAGATGTATCTATAACTAAAATAAGTCTAAATACAACCATTTCTAGGACAAGTATTTCCGAACGGAGTGAGTACCATGCAACGACCAAACACAACACCCAGAACGTTGCCAACTACAGGGAACATCACCGAAAGAGCAGCAACGAACAGTCCACCGGTCTGGCCAAACGGAAGCACAGTCAGCGCCACGCACATAAATCGCATCAGTGTGATTGTAAATCCAACATCATTAGAGCATAGTTTTGAAAACCTAGACCGACGAATGAACCGGACATGCTGCTGGAGCACCGGTACAACCGTTGGTCCGTCCAGGTTCGATAAAATAGTAACACGTTTTTAACTGAAAAAGGGAACTTTTTCCCAAGGTAAAAAAGAACTAAATAGCGCGTTAACTAACGGTCAAATGGCATGATTTTTCATTGCTGGCCAGGGATCGAATCCTACGCACCGCACTAATATGCACACTCTTACGAAGACCGACATGCCATCAACTACTCCCTCTAAAGTTAAGACTTATTTTGGGACGGAGGGAGTATGATTATTTTTTCCAATCATGAGCTCACATTGCATGCATGCAGAGATGAAGCTGGAAACTGGAAGTGTGTGCATAGATAGTGTCCACAGCGTGCCTTTTACTAGAAGTTTATTGCATGGCAACTGCTAAGTGTCTTGGTGACACCAGAAGGATAACAGCTCCCGGACTCGAGCCGCTGCGGCGTTGTGAGGGGCAACGACAGCAGCCTGGTTTATTGCGTGGGCTGGATGCTGCACCATGCATCCGTGCCTGCTGCTGTTCTACAGGGAAGAACCAGCACGGCGACGCCTCGTTGCGTTTGATGCAGCGATCTGACCGAGCTCCTCGCCCTGGTTAGATGCCACTCGTTCCCTCACAGGGGTGTAGTGCCTCAGCCAAACGCCCGTGTATACCTGAAGAAATAGCAAACAAATTAACGCCGACAAAGCAATCATTGCACAAGTATGAGAAGATCTGGCTGCCTGAGTAACTAACTACTGTCTTAGATGGTTTGTTTTAGCAACTGCATGACTCAAATAATGTTAACAGAATTATTTGTTCTACTAATTTTGAGAATATGACAGAAAAAAAAAACAGGATACTATAGGAAGACAAGATAAAGTGAAACATGACTAGAATTCATTGACTGACTTCTGCATAAGCAAAATCGTTTCAAGGTGCATAAAGGAACATGTATCACAGTGATAAGAAGTCCTTGCTAAAGCACAGGGAAAACTAGATCCACCGAACAACACTCAAAAGAATAAGAAGCATGTACAACATTATATTTCACACTACAGATCAAAGAATAATAGCAACTCTTAAGCTGGTGCTCAGTATAGACTGACAAACAAAACAAAAATGGTTGTCCCCGAATTCAGAACAAGCAAAAAGAAGTGCTCTACATAAAACTGTTGATAGCTACTGACCTGTTGAGGCCTCATAATTTTATTGTCAGGGTCATCAAGTGACTCCTTCCAATGTGCTAGCCAACCAGCCATGCGAGGAATTGCAAATAACACAGGGAAAAATTCTGTAGGGAATCCCATCGCTCTGAAAATCAACGAGTCACAATGTAAGTATTCAATAACAGAAATAGGGTGCACGGGGGATAGAAAGTAGACTCAGTTTCGAAGAAACAACTGATACACCTGTAAATCAGGCCTGAGTAAAAATCCACATTTGGATACAGCTTCCTCTTGATAAAATAATCGTCTGACAGTGCTGCCTTCTCCAAAGCAACAGCAACCTGGCATGGCATCAGAAAACATCATAAGGACGTGTTTGATTCGGCAACGCATGATTACAGTTTCGACCACCAATAGCCAAGCTGTTTAGGATCCTCATTTAAAGAAAACGACATAATTATTAGGCCCTTGTTGATACCATAACTCTAGGGTGTTTAAAGAAAAAGAAGTTAAATAGCAAAATGAACGATTGTCAAACCCTGAAGTGTTAGCCATTTGTGATATTAGCAAACAAGAGTAGCATAAAACACACAGCTTTCGTTCGGTCATAAAAAGAACAGATGACGAACAATCGTACAACTTAGGTCCACTATTTTTGTTCCTTTCAACAGTCAACAGATCCAAAGTGGAAATAATCTGAATTGCACTTCATCTATCTCACAATTTTTCAGTCAATTTTCACCCAGTAGAAAAGAGATATTTTTACTGTATTTTCTATCTTGCATGGTTCGATCCTTTTACTCTGTTACTTGCGAAACATAATGTTTCATAGACAAAGTTACTGACACTTAGCACCCACAGCATAAACAGAGCAACACTGTTTCATTACATGAGAGCACCGATCAAACTCTCGCCACATAAATGGAGGTTTCGTAAAGTTCTCAGAAAATCTTCCTCTCTACAGTTAAACAGATCAAGAATAGCTGACCTCGATAAGAGGATCCCGTCCAACAATAGAGAAAACCTCCTCTGCTAACTTTCGGATGACTTTAGCACGAGGATCATAATTCTTATACACACGGTGCCCAAAACCTGACATTTTCCGTTTCCTGAAAAATGACAGACATCGCTTGTAAAACAAGTCCCACGGTACATCAAAAGGTATCGAAGTAGAAATTCTACTGAAAAGACTATCACGGAGACAAGAAAAATATCAATCAAGCAGGAGTTGTGTATTATCACCTGTTCTTCACTCCCTCAATGAAATCTGGAATATTCTCCACAGCTCCAATCTCATTCAACATTTTAAGTACCGCCTGACATACAGAACATAACACTAAGTCCCATGGTAAGATGCAAATCATTGATCTCTTTTGGCCAGGATGCAGGTTTCTGAAATTAAAAGACTTCACAATACATACATTCCCTAAAAACTAACATGGTGTGGGGCTGGAAGGATATTCCTGGGAGGATGGATCTACTTGCATGACGCCACGATGAGAAACAGAAACACATAGAAATGTGTTGGTGGGCCTTGCTTCAGGAATTCATTTTCATGAGTTTCAATGTGAATCAGGCAAAGATTAATCACCTTCGAAATTATAGATAGTAATGGATTCTGCTTTACATGGAGAAAATGACAGCCTGCCAGTATGCATAAACACTTTACAGGTACCAAATCTAATAAAATCCATAGACGCATTAATAAGTTGTTCCTTGTGGTCTAATAATCTTGGTTATACTGTGTGCACTAGTTTTGATAGTTCCAAATTAAGGAGATATTGAGCAATGTAGATAAGGTCAGGGAGATATGGATATCAGACTCTTCATAAAAGAAATTGGAGCATTGGTCGTCATGGAACCGTTGCAAGCTCCTGCCGGGTACATAGGATGAACTAGAACTGCATGAGACTGCTAGTCACATACTTTCAGTTTTGTTAGGTTTCAATTTGGGTTTTGAATGGGCCTGGTAGGGCCAGAGGTGGAACACACGGTCTAAAACTGATTTAAGTGTAGGTTAATGATTATTTAAAATACAAACTTCCTTACAAGTGGATGCAAGATTCAGAAGGTTTTTCATGTAAAGCTACTGAGGCAAGGTCCTGCTGTTTCTTAGATTAATTAATGAATTACTAATGATGAGGATTGTCAAATATGTAGAAACATTATAAGCTTGAATTCATGAACGAGGAGGATGCAGAGCTCGATATAATTTACCTCATTTGCGCCACCATGCAGTGGACCATATAGAGCTCCAACAGCGCCAGAAAGAGCAGTGAAGACATCGACACCACTATACAGATATCATAGGTAATTAGACATCAATTTACTACTCGCACTTGAGAGGAGAATGAAGGACATGATACCTTGAAGCAAGGTGCCTAACAGCAGCTGTTGAGCAGTTCATTTCGTGTTCAGCATGGAGAATAAAAAGGATATCTAGAACCCGTGCAAGTCGGGGATTTGGCTTATATTCTTTGTTACCCCTGCAACACAACAAACATAGAAAAATATGTAGCAAATGGATTATTTAGCCAATATATGTGGGAAAAACAAATGAAAATAATTATCAAGTAACGTGACTTACAAAGAGTCTAGCATATACAAGAAATTCTCTGAATAAGAAAGATTATTTGAAGGAAGGACAGCAGGCCTTCCTGCTAGTCTCAGGTAGGCTGCAGCTGCTATTGCTGGTGCCTAAACAAATGGTCAGATATAGAAAGTTAAGTCACGTAGATGACTAAAGACAGAAAGTACTGTTGTTGCAACTTTCATCATGAGGTTATGTGCGGAATCCGTGGATATTTTAAGCATGGCAACATAATTTAATCAGTTGGATGAGTATCCTGAAAAACTACACTAACTGAAGATAATCAGATTATTAGTCATACCTTCCCAAGAACTCGCACAATTTGCTTATCCCTAACCTGCTTTGAGTTGTACAGATCTTGCCCCTGTATGGGTAGAATATGTCAAAGATCAACTTCAAACTGTTAAGCATAATAATAAAAAATTAAGTATGCATGTACAACAAACTATCAAACAAGAATTATAACAGTGAAAGTTTAAGGGTTTGACGGATACTATTGCATTGCGTAAGAACTATGTGAATAATCATCTGCCTAAATTGGTGCATTCAGAATGTGCTTACTCTAAGGGCAGGGTTTGCATCTGGGTGGAAGACAGAAAGTGTGCTCATTGCACTGGCAAGGACACCCATGGGGTGGGCATCGTGAGGCATTGATTGTATGATATCCTGCCAAAATTAGAAAGCACCATACATCACTTTGTAATCAGAGCGAAGCCCGAAACCTACATGATATTCTTAATATATTGTAATATCAAGACTCTAAAAGAAAAGGTAAGGGACAACGCATACCAAGAGTCCTTGAGGAACAGCAGAGTGCTGTGAAATTGCAAATTCCCAGCCTGCCAGTTGACTCTGAGTGGGCAAGTTCCCGTACACTGTGAACGCACAAGTCATTAACCAACGATTACAACAAAAAAAGCGAATATGCTCTGGAATTCAATAGGAATACAAGTTGCAAAACACTTACTTAAGAGGTAGGCGACCTCAACAAACGAACTGCTTTCGGCCACCTCCTCAATTGGATAACCCCTGTAGCGAAGAATTCCCTCATCCCCATCAATGTAGCAGATGGAAGAACGCACAGGGGCAGTGTTGAGATAACCAGGATCGTAAGTCTTAAGACCCTTGTCATCTTTCCCAGTGGTAATCTACAACATAACACAACGACAATCAGTTTTGTCCTCTTCGATCTGGTTTCATGATACAAATGAAGGATCATTGAGGCAGAGCTCCTGCTAGTTCCTTGAAAAAGAAGGTGTCACTGAAAGTAAAATGCTTATAGCGTGTTTTGTTAAAATTTGGTGCTGCAAAATCACAGAAATCTATAGGCAATTTCTACTGAAATAATTACGGCTACCAGCTTCCCAAGCTATACATGTCGGTCAATTAGACAAGTTCTCCTAGACCATGCCATAACATTGTTAATTGCAACAATTACCCATCAGAACAAATTTCAAGCTTGTACTGATTATCAGCTCAACTTCAACCTCACGTACAATAACCATATATTGTTGGCCCGATTGCATTAAATTTAACGAGCTCGGTCGAATTAAATATTTAATACGTCTATCTATCATCCTCAATTACAATTTCTACAAAAGAATAATTCATCAATTGCTGGATCATCTGATCTGATCACAGGTTCAACAGTAGATCCTAATTATTGGACTGGAACCTCAACTACCAACCAAAACTTAAGCTCTTTCATTACATGCGCCTAGCTACGACGAGTAGGATAAAAATCCTGATCCAATCCCGAATCCATAAGGCCAGCCCACCGCCAACCGAACTGCAGAGCACAAGCACTCTGCTACGGACAGAGGCAGCACAGATCGATTCACGCCACCCCCCGCCGCAGGAGAAGACAAGCTAATATCAGGCTGGACTGCTGGTTTTATACCTTCTTGAAGTCTGTGGCGCGGACGGTGCCGTCCTCCGAAACCTTGACCTCGTACCGCTTCCCGGTCCTCGAGTCCACCACGGCGAGCACGCCGGCGCGGGCCCCCGGGGCCGCGGCCGACGCCGGCGACCTCCCCAGCGCGGCCGCGGGGTCCGCGCCGGCGGCGAGGAGGTGGGAGGAGAGCACGGCGAGGCGGCCCCGCGCGGGATCGGCGCGGTCCATCGGATCGGTCGGTGCGATGCGAGCAGGGTGGACTGGAGACGAGCAGAGCAAGAGAAGAGAGGGAAGCGGTTGCTTGGACGTCTAGTTTGGTACGGCTTTTGCTTCGCGCAGCAGGATGCTGTTTATCTTTTCCTTTTTAAGTAGCGCCGATGGTCAATGTGTTCGTCTCGTGTGTTCACTAGTACGGTTATTTTCTAGGAGTAGGAGCGTCTCTAACACACCCTTTAAACCGCGGAGCGTTTTCAGTTCGTGGAAACGCATTTTTTAAGGATTGGTTTGAGCTGCAGCCGAACAAACTCCTCAAACTTAAATTGTAAAATTAAATACTCATTTATATTTTCCTGACGTCTTTTTCTTTCTCTCGCCCATGTCCACAGTCAGCTAGCTCGCTTCTACGAAACCGGCGAACAGCGCATAAAACGGCCAAATACGGAGCCGCGGGCGTCCAGGGTGACTTGCACGAAACTAACTAGCTCGAATCAATCCAAACGGCCAAATACGGAACCACCATCGTCGTAG